TTTTTTTTTTCTAGGAGAAAGAATATCAAAAGAACATAATTTCTTCTAAAATGTAAATAATTTTACATAGATTCTTTTCATTTACACTATACCAACCATAACAATCATTCTTTTTCTTTCAAATAAGAGAAATAATCTTTAAAACGAAAACATTACAATCTTTCTACTTCTTTACAGTATCAAAATCATATTAGAATAAAAAAAAACAATTCATTAGACAACGTTATTTTCTATGCTGATTCTTCAATAAATAAGTTTTAAATGATTTTTTTCAAATTATGACAAAGTAGTTCTGCAATTACAGTCATAATCATTACAGAAATAGAATCACTTTCCTCAATTTAGTATCATTCTCTTCTAATTTTAACTTATGTTATAAAAATTGTACAAACTCTTCTTATTCATTTCTTATGGAAGCATCAGACCAAATAGATTTGGACCTTCTTCATCAATATGTTGCATTTCGTCGTTCTTTAATATGTGGGTTTTGTACAGACACTGAATCTAATTTAGCGTCACAAGATTCTGACACCTTCTATGATTCTTTGTTATCAAAACTTCAATCAGCAAAAATAACAAGACAAGACCTTCTTAATCAAATTTCTCTAACAGAGCAAGATCATGCCAAAGAGATGAGTTTATACTCTTCTTTATTTAATTATTATAACAATTACTTATCTTGGATTTATCGTCAAAACTAATTCATATGTTTGTTTATATTTTATTATATTAAACATATAAAACCTCAAAAAAAAAAGGAATAAACAAGAAAAGAACATTAATTCTAAAAATCATTTTATTCAAGTTTGTAATATGTTTTTTTAGGAGGAAGAAGTCCTTGTTGTTCTAATACTTTTTTAACTAAACCATATGAAATTTTAATTTCTGGATATTCTCTTTTAAAGTCTTGTAACACTCTTGAAACAACAAATTTATTATATAATTTTATTGGTTCTTCATGTGTTTGAATAAAAGTTAGTAATAACTCGTGTTGTTTAGTAAGTTTTCTTTCTTTTTCAATAACAACTACTCTTCCATCATCAATTTTTTCTTCACAAATTTTGGGTGGTTTAATTTTATTTGTTTGTTTTTTCATATACACTCTTTGCATATAGTCTTGACCATCTTTATTTTTAACAGTATATGTATAACAATAATATAATATTCCATCTTTATCTTTAACCATTTCTTTTTTATTAGCTTGTTTTGGTTTCAAATCTATTGTTTGTATTTGAGTAATATATTGTGCTTGTTCATCTATTTCAGGACAACCTGGTAAAATAGGTTGCATTTCAATTCCTGTAGCTAACATTTGCATACGTATTTGGTATAATTCTGGTGTCATTTCTTGTCCCATTTGAATTTCTCCATCTAAATGACCAATTTCTGGTGGAAGTTCTCCATTCATTTGTTGGACTATTTGATGGTTTAAATTAACACTTGAAATTCCTGAATTATTCATTTGGTTTATTTGATGATCTTGTTGGGGTGGGGGTGGTGCAGTGGTTTGAATTTCTCTCATATGGATATCACTTCCTTCTAAATCAATTTCTTGAGGTTCAATATGTTGTTGGTCAAAATCAATTTGTGCCGTGCTCATTTTCGTTGTCATTGATCTTTAAATAAGAACTTGAATAACAATTCTCTTCCTTTTGGTTTTATGTTTTATTATCTTCTTTTTAATTTTTTTACTTTTAATTTTACTATTTTTCTCTTCTTTTTAGGTTTTTAATTTTTCGTTTCGGACTTTCACTTCTCTTTTTTCAATTCCTTTTTTAAATTAGTTATTTTTTTTCTCTTTTTTCATTTCATCTAATGAACATGAAAAAAATCCAATTATATGACTTTCTTTACTAAGATAATCTTTAGAGAAAACTAATGGTTCAGACAATATATTATTATCTTAATGTTAATATTCATAATTATTCATTGAGAATATAAAAACACATAAGTTTCATGTGATAGTCTAATATCTAACAATAAAAGACATTCATATTAATTATTCCTCTTCATTTTTTTAAGAGAAATGAATAATATGAACCTAACAATAATGTAGATAAAAGAGATTAATGTTAATCATTTTCTATATGTTTACAATCTCAACTATAGTAAATTCAAAGTTGTTAGTAAAAAAACAAAAGGAAAAATCACAGAAAAAGAACTTAAATAAGAAGAAAAGACAAAATGGCAAAAGAAGAAGAGTCATTATTTAAATTATATGGAGAAGTAGGTGAAGAAGGAAGTATAAAAGAGGTATTTAATAAAGATACAAGAGAAAGAAGTATTAATTATATTATTCATTTCTTTGGAGCAAGTAGACAAAGTGATATAACAATGTTTTATGCAAGTAAGAAAAAAGGAATAAAAAAGAATGAATATCAAATTAAATTTTATTTTCAACCACTTAAAGGAAAGTTTGAAGGAGAAAGATATTATTCTATTTTACCTTCAAATTTTAAAATTATTTCAGTTGCATGGAATAAAGACAAAGATTGTATTTTATATGTTCTTAAAATGATTAATGCAAATTCATCTCGATATGCATTATTTTGTACAGGAAATAAAGCTTCATATGAAGCAGTTGAAATACAAATATCAACACAACCTATTGAAGAATATTTTACAATTCAATCAAGTGAAGAAGAATCAAAAAATAATTTTTATTTAATATCAAGTAATTGGGTTAAATTAGTTAGTATTCATCAAAGAAATATTAGGAAAAATGAAGTATTAACAGTTTCATCAAGATACCGTGAAACATATTGTTCTATTTGTACATACAATGGATATGTTTATTTATTTACATTAAGTGAAATTTCAAGAATACCAATTGGGATGTTAGAAATTGATAAAATAGAAAAAATTAGTATTAAAAATAGTCAATATTATGAGAAGTTTATGGTATTATATCAACAATATAAAATTGCATTACATGTTAAATGTTCTAATAGTGCATTAGAACAAATTAGTTGTAGTGGATTAGATAAATATTCATTTCCAATTACAGTAAATCAAGGATCAGATCAATTTGGGAATGAAAAAGTAGGAGGAGGAGCAGTTATAATGACTAAATGCATTTTAGATAATTTGTTTGTTATTTGTTTAAGTAAGAATTATTGTATTGTTTTAATTACAAAACCAAATTCAAAAGAATTTGAATGTATTTATGAAGATTGGAGTGAAGAAGATAAATATATGAATATTTTTTATGGATTTGAATTATTTTTCATTATTAGTAAACAAGGAGTAATAGTATTAAATACTACTAATTTACAATATGTATTTATCAATACAAAAACAAATCAACTTAATACTATTTCTTCAATTGGAGAAAAAAGAATGAATGGAGGAAGAAAGATAGTTAGTATAGATACACATACATTAGATTTAAAATTAATTGGATTAAACGAAATATTCTTTAATTATGTTAATGATCCTATGATTAATTATACATTTTTATCTCATGGGTTTTATCCTAAAGGTGGAATTAATCCATTTTGTTATATTAATTTTAATAATCCAACAAGTGAAGAAATTATGGAAAATATTATTTTTCAATTAGGCAGTTATGTTCTTGGAAATGAAAATTCAATTTATCGTAATTTATTATGTCGTACTGTAAATAATGAAGGAATTTATAGACTACCATTTCCTCATGAAAAATTTGAAATAACAAAATATTCTACATTATTACCATTTATGAAAACTGCAACTAATGGAACTCTTTTAACAAAAGATCAATGGAAATCAAAAATGGGTAATCTTATAGAAATGTTTTATAAAAAGAAATTAGATTATAAACAATTTGTTGATTCTTATTTTGCTAAATTAGAAGAAATTTTACGTATGATTAGAAAGAAATTTAATGAAACAATTGCTAATCTTAATGAAGAAAGAATGATCCTTGAAACAATCTTCTTTAATGGTTGTATGAATAAAGTCTATAAAGAACTTGCTTTAGAAAAAGAAGAAGATTATTGTGAAGTAAATGTTAAATTTTTTCAATTGTATCCATTTGAAATTGTTGTTCAATTTGATGCACTTGGAATATTTGAATTATCAATAAGTGAAGCAAGTACAATATTAAATCAAATTAAGGTTCAAGCTGAAAGATTGAAAGATCCTCATTATAAAATTAAAGAACAATTATTTGTTATAAGAAAATTATGTTCAAGTGATGAAGAATTTAAAGAAATGTTAAACACAATCACTTCTTATAAATTTAATAACACTTTAAAATATCAAAAATTAGATAAATATTATTCTTTTTACAATGAAACTTCTCCTGAAATGATTTTTAAAAGAAAAGTTGATGAAATTATTGTTACTCCATCATCAACAACTCATTTAAAGGAAAATAAATTATTAAAATTCTTTACTTTAAATTAATTCTTTTTTAATCAATTAATTCATTCATATT